CGTGGACACTTGCAGCAACTTGTTCGAAGAGATATCGGCAAGGGGTTCCATAAACGCAGCGAATAGATCTGATGTCCGGGGTAACCCAAAAACTTTGACGTCATGCACTGATAAAATTTCAAAGATTGTTTTTATGTGTCCCACACATGATTTTTTGCAATGTGATCAACATTATTTTTTTCCTGACCTACACTAAAATTCGAGGGGCGCGCACTTCCAGGTATGAGTGCGTGATATTTAGAATACATCGTAGTAATTTAAATACTTTGAAGACAGTAATAATTTTAATTTTAATACTTTTAGCGGTACTGAACGTAATCAACACATAATTAACGATAATTCATGTAATGATAAATAGTTAATCATGTTTTGTTGTTTTTGACATCATCCACATCCAGAGGGCCAGTCACTTCGAATGTATGGGAATGGTAAGAAACCATTTGGAAATGCATGAACATTTTCAGTTTTTATTCATTATCGTCTTTATGGGCAGTTTTAGATGCACAAAAATTGCACGAGTACATTACTATGCTGATAAGGTAAACACTCGTTTATTTGTTTCCTTCTGTGAAAGTATGTTTAGTCACAAATCGTGGATTTTCTGATATTCTCCATACTGCAAAAATGATTTTCCTACCACTGAAGGGGCGACATCTCTCGGATCTTCAGTATAGCTACTACTCAAATCATATAATTAATTAAAAAGAATATTTTATATTTTTGGCAACCATTTCTATTTGATTTTAAAATATAGTCAATCGCATAAACCGTGTCCCTTTCGTAAAATTGCCAAAAAAATTGGACATTAGCGTCGGAACTGTGCAGAATATCAAAAAAACGTAACAATATCAGAACCTACAAGAAGCAAAAAGCACCCAAAAGGACGGATTCACAGAAAGCTTCTTCGAAAATACGGTCACAGAACTTGTATGACCGGTGCATTTTGATGAACGACGAGTCGTACGTCAAATTGGATACCAGTACACTTCCCGGGCCGCAATATTTCAACGCTGAGCAGAGGACAGATGTGCCTGATGATGTGCGATACATCCGATCCGAAAAAAATGGAAAAAGGTTTTGGTGTGGCAAGCCATTTGCTCCTGTGGCTTAAAGAGTTCTTCGTATTTCACAACGGCCACAATCAATGGAGAAAATTACAAAAAAGAATACATCAAAAAACGGCTTCTACCCATCATCCATTGTTTTGGCTGGATCTGACATCTGCTCACTATGCTTCTGCTACGTTGGAGATGCTCAAGAAGGAAAAAAAATCGATTTTGTTGAAAAATTCCAAAATCCCCCAAACTGCCCTGAACTGCGTCCTATCGAAAGATACTGGGCAGTAATTAAACGGCATCTAAAGAAATATGGAAGAGAAGCAAGCTCTGTTGACTGCTTCAAGAAAATTTGGTCTGCAGCACAACGAAAAGTTCGAGCGTTCTTCAGAAATGAGAAGTAAACTTATGAATTTGATTGAAAATAAATATTTTCCTTTGAGAAACAGGTGTCTACTTTCATTAATGAACAGTCCTTATGTTCGCATTAGATTAAAAATTGAAATTCTGAAAATGTTGTGGGGCTCCAATTCATTAATGTAGCTTAAGCTCCGGCATACTTACATTTTATATTCCTTGAACTATTTCTTAAGCCATATGCTAAAAGCATCTCTAGAAAAATTTATTCTAAGAAAACGTTGAACATTTTAGGGGAAGGTAATAATTTTTATAATATTTATAAACCTGAGGTGCGAAATCTGCAATAGTTGCACAGTAATTTTCTCGCACAGACAAGACAAACAAAAAAAAAACGTCGGAAAAATGAAAACAGCAGCTTAAGAACAGCAATGGCAATTGCTTAAAACTTTAGGAATTTCCAGAAACTGATGGTGATATCCGAACTGTAGTAACTCACGGAACACTTCAATACCTTCCAAAACTCGTGAAATCGCCTGACATAATCTTCGGATATTGTGATACTTTGGGTTCTACCAGCTCCTCCAAAACACTAAAATCTTGCGTAGTAAAACTTCAAGAACTCCTGGAACTTTCAGATATCTAGGTTTTGAGCGTTCCTTCCGTCAGTACGTTTTTTTTTGGGATTGTGGACCGGATCCGGTAAAAGGATGAAATAATCTGAATTTCTCAAAAGGCCGTAAATACCTAGACTTCCAGAGATACTGGTGAGGGGTAATGTACATATTAGGTAAATGAAAAACGTGACGAAAGGGGGGAGATAGTTTTTTTTTCTCAATTTACCGTGACATAATTAAAATATGGCCCATGATATCTAATATAATTGCACTGTGAAGGTTCTTGACTTTCGAGACTCCTGTTTCAGGGATAAGTTCAGGGATTTCTTGGACAAATCTTGATTCAAATTTAGCAAAATGTTAGTTCAAATTTGAATGACCTTAACATTTTGTCAGGGTAGGGTGTGTGCCAGTTTTTAGCCCTATCTTAAATTTATATATTTTTCATTCTTTTCAAACAAATTTTGAATACAAGAAGAACATAGCTTTTGCCAAATACAGGGCTGTTACAATATTTTCAAAATTTGATCCGCGAAATCCGCGATTTCTCAAAAGAAATCCGCGACTTCAAATACTAATCCGCGACAAAAAAAAAAACTGTTTTCATTGCCTAAAAATACCATTTGTATACTACTACATGGCATTTCAAGCTTATTGCATATAGCATATTAGATTTTGCCTGCTCTGAACTTAGTGTTCTTTGAAGTATCTTCACATAGATTTGAGAGCTTTCTATGCCCAAGGAAGTAGAGAAATTTGCCAACCCGAAAAATTAATAGACCGAACGGGAGTCGAACTCAGTCGCCTCCAGCATGGCCTCGCTTTGTAGCTGCGCCTTTACCGACTGAGCTAAAGGAGTATCGTTTGTATCCTTTGAAAAAAAAAAAATTCAGTTATTTATGATTTTTTTTTATTATTATTATGGTCACTTTAACACTCTTGAGTCATTCGTGACTTGTCCGGGGGTGAGATTTGAACTCGTGACTTTGGCGTGGTCGCCCCCTAGTTTATGAATGTTTCTATTGAATAATACAGGTCTAGATTTGATGAAGCATTATTTAAAAAAAAATTATTGAGAGTTAACCTTTGCGTCTCTGACGTATTTTGCTGTCCTAAATGTTAAAGTTAATTTGGCGCTAGTTTTCTCAATTTTTGACCGTTTCAAACCATACACCCTGCACATAATCGAGAAATTACCAGAATTTCATAAGTCACACTTGTTGGTCACGTTGCGGTTCTGTATTTACACAGATATTCCTTGGGGTCTGTCATATATATGTGACTTTGTGGATCATGCACGACTTATTACTATGTGTACTGGAAATGATAGGTTTTACAAATTTGATTTTTTCTACTAGATCAACCAAAACTGCAATAATGTCTGTAGTATCGAAAAATGTCCAATCAGTTTCAAAGTGTCTATGTGGATCATGCATCATCTATTTCCGAGTAATCCAGATGTAAATTCTTCAAATCGTCCTGGAGTTCAGATAATTTGATCTACTAGATCAACCGAGATTGGGACAACGTCTTTAATATATAAATATTTCCAAACAGATGCACAGTGTCTATGTGAATCATGCATGAACTATTGCCATGTATACCAGATGTTTTAAGTTCTCCAAATCGTTCTGGAGTTCAGATGATTTATTCTACTAGATCAACCATGAGTGGGATACAGTCTGTAGTATCGAATTATGTCCAAACATATTCGTAGTGGCTATATGGATAATGTTTAATTATTTCCACGTATACCAGATGATCTATGATCTGTAGCATCGAAATATCGATATGGAAATCCTTAGGAAATATTTGGCATACACGAATATAGGTTGGCATGATCCACATAGACACTGCAAATTTATTTGGACATATTTCGATACTACAGATATTGAATTAGGCATGGGTGATTTAGTAGAAACATAATCTGATCTGCAGAATGATTTCAGAACCTATAACATCTTGTATACGTAGCAATAGGTCGGGCACAATCCACATAGACACTTTGAATCTGTTTGGACATATTTCGATACTACAGACATTATTGCAGTCTTGGTTGATATAGTTGAACAAATCAACTGAACTCCAGGACGATTTGGAGAACCTATAATATCCGGTATACATGGTAATTACCCGCATATATACGATTCGTTTATGATTTGACATCGAAAAATGCTATGTTCATATTGGAAATAAATAAAACATGAAAATGTCTCTCATTGGACAGACCTCACGGAATTTCCGTGTAAATCCGGTGTGACTTATGGGATTGAGATCATTTCTCGATTATTTGCAGGGTGTTTGATATGAACCGATAACAAATTGAGAGCCAAATGAACAACAAAATTGATGACAGCTAAATAATCCGGGACGGAAAGGTTACAATGAATTCCACAATTTTTGTGACAGCACATCAGTCCCTTCGCGATTTTCGCGACATCATTTAATGTTTCCGCGATTTTCGCGACATCATTTAATGTTTCCGCGATTTTCGCGACTGAAAGTTCAAATCCGCGACAAATCCGCGAAAATCGCGAAATCCGCGCCTGTTGTAACAGCCCTGCAAATATCTACGCAGATAAAACCATAAAAAAACAATTTTGATATAGGTCCATGTGTCAAAACTGGCACACTTATCCTAGTTCAAATATAGGTATTGCAATTTTGTATGTTCATAATTTATACTTACATTTTCGAAGTACATGAATTATCACTTACAAGAATGTTCAAAGTTTTATAAATAATTAAATTAAATTTGTAATTTGTTGTTTTATTGGTTACGATAGCCTGTTAGTATAAACTGTGCATTAGGTCAAGAAGTTACATCCCGCGCTCAATTATGTTGTTGAGATTAAGCAGCAAAACGAAAGAATCTTTAGGTTCCGTGTTCCCTTGTGGAAGTGACTAATTACCATTAATCTACGTTTCGAGACAAGGTACCGTCCATTTTTGGAACCGCAGTTACACTTACCGAATCTTGTTCCTGGTGTAGCTTTACGGGACCGCTTCCGCCAGTGACCGATGTTTGGAATTTTTTGGTTCCGAGCCGCTGGAACACGCTGGGGCGATCCTTGGGAAGAACTTTTTTATTCGGATTGAGCTCGAGTGTAATTTTACGCTTTACAGGTGTAGACATCTTATTTTCGACACCCGCCGCAATGGAACGCACATATTTCGCACTTCTCTCGAAAGGGGAAAAAGTCGAAAAAGGAAACAAAGAATAGCAGTTTTGCCGTTGCGAATGGGATAGTTCGAAGCACTGCAACGATTTATTCGCGCACCAGGATCCGACAGAAACACTTTTTGGATGTTAAGCACTCGAAAAATTCAATGAATTTTCACAATTTTCAGACAACAAACTTTCGGATGCCGATCGATGCCACCGTAAAATTTTCGTTTTGACGTTTACGTTACATTACAGGGTGATTCACATGAAACGCGGTTGACAACAACGTTTGACAAGTTTCGTTAAATTTCCGAGGGGTCCGGCAAAGTCTACACGGCAACGAAAAGCTTTTAAAAGAATCCATTCTGAAGTTCCTTTACAGCATTTCCATGCTCAGCCTGGTTGAATGTTGTTCCATTTTCCTCTGTTCCTGGGAGAGGTGTCAGAAAGTGTCAGAAAACAAAGTGAAGGATACATTTATTCATACAAACAGGCCGCCATTATTGAGCATGGAAAGCTGAATACAGCAAAAAAAAATCGTTGAATACATCTAAACTGCTGCTTTTTATCGATCCCGCAGACATTCATCTCGATTTTTAAATCAAGATTTAAAATTTTTGATCGTTGACACTAAATCCACAGACAAACAGACATAACACTGACAATTTGTTCATCGAACATGCATTTAACGGTCAATTTAAATGTTTTTAGTTGGTAGTACCGCCGCCTGTGGCGCGCATAGTCAATAACCCTTGCGTTTGCCGTTTACACACTACCGCCATCTGTTCAGCGTAATACCCATCACAGTATACTCAGCAGATGGCGGTAGTGTTTTACTGACGATGTTTTATTTTAAACAATATTCAATGTGTTATGTCTGTTTGTCTGTGCTAAATCTATTCGTTGAAAGCTCACTCGCATACAAACCCTAATAAAAATTGTATGGTTAATTTGCTTAACGACGTGTTCTGGGTATCATCCAAACCATTTGTGGAATAGTTCAATGATTTGGATTATCGTTCGTTTATGGTTATTTTTTATTAAGGAAGTCCCACCAAAAGGTGCTAAGATGGTGATTTTTGCTAATGTAATCGTACTTATTTTTTAAAATAGTTTCAGTGTACCAAAATTGATGAAATTTTGGATTTCAGTTCCATTTGCAGATAACGAATATGTATTATCTCAATGCCCCTAAACAACCAAATTAAATTAAAAAAAAAGCTTAAAAATTATGCGAATTCCCGCATCACCTCTAAGTGGATTCCGAGCCATGATTACTTCGGCAGTAGTCATTTATGATTAAATCAAATATATCATATTAACAATATGATCCATTCATGCCTTTTCCAAATGTTGCAATAGCGACCCGCAAAATATTGCTTCACGCACCATCTAGCGTTGAAAAAGGTCAGCAACAATCATTCAATTACAATCAAGGGGTGCGAATATAGCACTTATTACAAAAGTAAGAGTCACATTATTTCCATTAATTACATTGTGTATATTACTTTAAAATTTGTCTGACATGTCACTGTTGTCATCAAATAAAATAATATGCTGAAATACATTCATTTGAAATATTAAACAAATTTTCATTTGGTTTACCCCTCGTGACGATAAACAAATACATTGGTAGCCTTTTTGGCCACAGAGGTGCTTTCATCGCTAAAAAATCGGTTCGCCAGCTAAGCGAAAGAGTGGATCATATTGTTAATATAATCTATTTGATTAAATTCAAATTAATCACTTGTGTTAAAATAAGAGATGAACTAGCCTTTGGCTAAAAATCTCTATAATAAAGAAAAAAAAAAAAACTTGTGTTAAAAAAAATCTTTTCAGTATTAAATTTTATTCTTTTCAAATATTAATAGAGGAAATGGATGTTACACAGAAAAAAAAGTTGTTGAATATTACATCCAAACTGCTGCAACCAGGTCAATCTATCGGTTGTGTAATATAACGTCGTACCACAGACAAACAGACGTAACTCTTTGAAAAAGTTTTTCTTGAAAACATAGTATCTCAAAACATAGGACCTCAGTAACGACATCTCTCGGCCTTCTCGCGGAAAACAAGCTTGCTCGCCAACTCGCAAACAATATTGCATAAAAGTTCTATAGAATGTATAGAAACGTCAAAGTGATTCGATGCCAGCGCTGCGACGAGTAGTTCGCGGAACTGGTAATATTCAAATCAACCGTTAAATGCGTGAACGAAGATACACAATGAAGTGTTACGTCTGTTTGTCTGTGGTCGTACGATGCGAGGTACGATGTACATCGATTTTGCGAACAAAATTACATCCACCTTTTTTCTATTACATCATTATTTCATACGTCAGCTTGAATTGGGTTGTTTAGGGGTATTGAGGTAAATACATATTCGTTATCTGCATTAAAAATGGAACTGAAATCCAAAATTTCATCAATTTTGGTACACTGCAACTATTTTAAATAAGTACGATTACATTAGCAAACATCACCATTTTAGCGCCCCTTGGTGGGACTGTGTATGGGAGTGAGCTGTCAACGAATAGATTTAGTGTCAACGATCAAAAATTTAAATCTTGATTTAAAAATCGAAATGAATGTCTACAGCATCGATAAAAATATGGTTGTGCTCAGAAAGCGAAGCTCTATCATATGATGTATAAAAATTGGTATATTTTTCGAAGTTAAACAACCCAATTACATTGATCGATATTATATTTTTTTTTTGCTGTGTACGTCGGCCTAAATGCCACTAATTTGGGCTCACTAAGGTTGCTCATTAAGCAACCGACTAAATTTTCAACAGCGACCAAAAATATCCATTAGTACTGTCCCCATCTAGATAAAATTGATAAGTAGCAGATTTTTAGCGATGGGCCCAATCTTAGATTCATAGGCCAACATTAGAGCCATTTCCCCTATATAATCGAAATTGATTAAAATTCAATCAAAAAAGATTAAAATTCAATCAAAAATGATTAAAATCGATGAATCAAAACTGAATAATAAAAATTTCAAACAAGATTACTTTCAATTTAGCAACCATGATTAATACCCTGTTCACATTACAGCCTATATCACGTAATATAGGCTGTCTTGCAATGAACACTCATACATAGGATTTCCAGTGAAAACTAGATGTACGTGATATACGCTGTAATGTGAACGGGGTATGATGCAGTTGGTTTACGTGGGCGGCCTACGATTTGCGAGGAAATGACTTACAAAACTTTCATTTGCAAAAGCTGATAGGCCCTTTTCAGTTGTTGGTCCTATATCGTTCGTGCTTCGTTGAGTAGAGCTGGGAAATATACCTGTCACTCAACAAACTAGTGTCAAGCGCGTTCCGTTTTTGACATCGCCGCCCCTCGATCGTTCCATTTTTCGTCGTTCTTCTGTTGCGGCTTTACAAACAAAAGAAGGGAAGTAAAGCACCGTCATCTTTGAAAATACGTAAGTTTTTGGCTGAAAAATGCTTCCTATTTCGAAATTTACGTTCTTAATGCACCTGCCTCTGTTTGCCTTCTTCCAGCAGTGCTTTTGTTTGTAAAACTTGGACTCAAATCTGCCGCAGAAATGGAGATCGATGAGGAAGAGTTCGAGCAGCCAACTTCCAGCAGCAGCCGTGGAGAGCGGAAGAGATTCGAGGTGAAAAAGGTACGAAATTGTGTAAAATTTACCTTCTTGTGGTGTGAAATAATGCTAATTTTAATTTTAATTTTTTTAGTGGAATGCTGTGGCTTTGTGGGCTTGGGGTAAGTTGAAATACGTATACTATGTTTTTAATTTTTATCGATCGATCGACCTTGTAACTAACCTCGAATGTGATTTCCTGGTTTATAAGGTTTTATTGAATTTTCTGTCATTTGTTATTCTTAAAACTTTTATTTGTTATTAATACTTTGAACTCTTTATTTTGCTCAGATATCGTAGTGGACAACTGCGCCATTTGCCGTAACCACATTATGGACTTGTGTATTGAATGCCAGGCAAATCAAGCATCAGCTACCAGCGAAGAGTGCACTGTTGCCTGGGGTGTATGTAATGTAAGTGATTCAATGCGTTGTATTATTATTGGCTTTTGTTAATTAATGAAACTCTTCTATTTATTAAAACAGCACGCATTCCACTTTCACTGTATCTCCCGTTGGCTGAAGACACGACAGGTTTGCCCGTTGGATAACAGGGAATGGGAATTCCAAAAATATGGACATTAGTAACCGGATTCAGCACATCTCAACAGGCCTTTCATACTTTTATGGCTAATTTAAAGCAAAAATGTTTCCGTGCAGAAGCTGACGATTCAACTCAAATTTTAGTTTCTAGATCAGTGAAATAAGAAACCTTGATTTTGGGAGTTAACATACCATTGGAATTAAACCGGTAAATCAGAGTTCTCTACAGTTACTCTATAGATTGGCTTGAGAAAATATCTTTAACATTAGGGGTCATTCGCAAATTATGCAAAGCTATTTGAGCAATAATTAGACTGTCCGATTTTAGCTTATAAAGGGGCCTCAAATCTAAGATCTCTAACTTTTAAGACAAGCTATACGTATAGAGTTGCGAGCACGATAATATCTGATACTAGATCTAGCACCACCGATGTTAAGGAAACTTTACCCTACCTGATGGTGGTGTGGTGTTCAGAAGCGCCAACTTCATGAAATTATTTCATTTTACGAAATGGCAGGAGCTAGTTAGCCTAACAGAACTGATGACATTGATGCTGTTCCTCACAATAGTTAGATTACTACCCAAGTAAGGGGCTGTTCATTAACTACGTAGACAGTCTTTTGGTTTTCTTGACACCCCCCCCCCCCTGTGTAGATAATTGACAATACAAAATTTTAAAAATTTGTATGGGCCGTATTCTTCCGTGATGTTACCCAATCCTTGTTTTGAATGACTGAGCGTACATTTAAGAAGAAAAACTTCACTGAAGACACCAAACGGCTAAATCCTAAAATAAGTTCTACGGACTTTTGTCTTGTTAAATTCCAATCCTGGACCACTGTGCAGAGGGAAATGGATTGTACATACACATACAAACACACAAACACACGCACACGCTCCTCCGGAAGGCTGAAGAAGGATCCTGCTATCAAGAGCTCAGCCTTCAAGGAGCTCGTCGAAAAGTCTCTTGGCGAAGGGGCGAGCGTAAGAGCTCTATCCCAGGAGACAGTGGTCGAGTCCAGGGATCTAGACAAGGAGAAGATGAGGATGAGG